AAAAACAGAAATTTATTGGATAAATTTTGATAAAAACTTTTGCATAATTAGTAGGTGGGATCGGATAGTATCCTGATTAGTTCAGCTAAGCTACAATGTATTCCTCCCATTTGGACCTCGTACTTTTATAAGATTTTTTTTAATCTAATATCTACATATCTAATATCTAGTAGCTACATCAGCCCTTATATCCAAATATGAAAAAAACTGGACCTAGAGCCAAATCTTGGAATTGCCAAGTCACTAAGAATTAAATTTGTAAAGCTTAATCAATCACCTCACTCTTGTTAAAATATTATTAATATAAATATTTTTAATAAAAGTAAAAAAGGTTTTATACCTCTAATAAACATTTTTAAAAAGTATTTCTTATTTGAGCTAATTTTTTAAATTTTATGTGTTTTATAGTACAAGTACAGTTTTTTGTACTATATTTGTACTATACTAACCTAATAGTATATACATATTATTCATATGTAATTAAGTATTTACACATTGGGGTTATGTACTCAAAGACTTTTCCCTCATTGGGTGTGCAGTGAAAACATTTGGGGAATCATTAGATTAGATGGTGTCTAGGATTTGTATGTTATTGTATAGTTTATAAAATGCTTTTGCAAATGTGTTCTAACCTGAACCTGATCAACAGCCTTTCAATGCAGAGAGGTGTCATCATGTCCATTTTATAGATGAGGCATTATGCCCATGTTACAGAGGAAGAACTCAAGGTCAAAGTATTTAAATGACTTGTCCAAGGTTATACAACTTGTTAATAATGGCTTCTCAACTCCAGACAGGTCTTTTTACTATATGGTACTATTTCCATTCATTTTGCTTATTGCTCTTCTATTGGTCATTTTCCATGTTTTGATTTCCTCCCCTAATCTTTCTGTTATTTATTTTTCAGAACCCTCAGGTAATTGCTTTTTGTATATTGTCTAGAGTTTTTGGTTGTAATCAGTGAAAGGGAGAGAGACTATACTAGTAAATTAAGAAAGACTGGAAACAAAGGATGGAAGCCAACCAGAAAGACAGTATATTCATGATGGAAATATAAATTGTACTAGATGGCCCAGAAATCAAATGAATGCATCTAATGTGGAAAACTGTGCAGAGGAACCATAGAAATATAGTCCAGGCAGATAGATCATTTAAATACTGGCATGAGGGCAGGCTGGAGATGATTGGTTGTGGAAAAAATAGATGGTGGGTATGTATGATGTACATGTAGTTCTGTGCTATAATAAGGTTGGCATTAATAAGCATAGTGAATTAAGAATTGTGGAGTTTAGGGGTGCCTGGGTGGCTCAGTGGGTTAAAGCCTCTGCCTTCAGCTCAGGTCGTGATCTCAGGGTCCTGGGATCGAGCCCCGCATCGGGCTCTCTGCTCAGCAGGAAGCCTGCTTCCTCCTCTCTCTCTCTGTCTGCCTCTCTGTCTACTTGTGATTTCTGTCTGTCAAATAAATAAATAAAATCTTAAAAAAAAAAAAAAGAATTGTGGAGTTTAGTTTTGTCATGTTTTGTCTTAGTAAAACTTGATAGAACCTGTAGCCTTCTATTTTCAATGTTCTGTCAGTACATATAACAAAGAACAAAATTGAATAATTCTGTATAGGAATGAAAGGTTAAATGATGTTTGCTACTGGATGTATAGATAAACTAGGTTTAATATACTAAAGTGATTGGGTCAGAAAAGTGACTTAAAATTATAGTATGGTTTCAAACATCATTTTCTAGGCTACGATCAGTGCCATAATCCAAGAAGACAGACATGTATTTAACAAATTAAAATCTGGTTTTAACAGGTTTTCATGAAAGTATGTTTTTACATATGTAGAGCTTCTGGGCTATTTCCCTATTATAAATTCAAGACATGGCTTGATCTTCTATCAGCCTAGTGGTAACACATCTGGAAATACCATGCATCACTAAAACTTTCATAGGAATTTTGAGAGCTTTGAAATATTGCATATATGACTATAAAGTTCCCTTAGTATTCACTGGCATATTAAACTAAGATGTCACTGAGGTGTGTATTATTGTCTGTGTTAATAATCTGCAGATGAAAGATTCCCTTCAGTTCAAGTGAATATAGTTCTTCCCTCTCAGTGTCCATGGTGCCATTGATCTATTGTGCTCACAGGAGAAAAACCAAAATGGTACACTTAGAATTGTAACCAATCTCAAGTAACTATATGCCTTTTTAAAAAAAATATGAAATGGAAAGATCTTCTGAAACTTAGGATAGTTTCAGTGGCTTAGAAGATGTTAGAGAACTATTTTGGGTTTTTCAAACTTCAAGGAACCCTAGACTTGGAGTCAAATCACTTGGATCTAATATCCGCTCTTCTGTTGATGTATACACTGTCAACATGGGCAAGTTACTTAAACTTCTCATAGCAGATGTGTGCCAGTCCCGGGGGGCTTGATCACAAATGATTACGTTTCCACATACATATTACATATACATATGTATACACACAAACAAACAAATTAATGGTTTCTTTAGCTTTGAAGATAGTGCGGTGGGGTAGTCAGATGGCTTGGAAAGGCTTATTGGCAGGAGGCTGTGGGGCAGCCAGAGGAGATCTCCTCAGCCTGAGGAGTTTGTAAGTCGGTGATTTGTCAAGTCAGAGAAGCTGGCAAGGCATTGAGAATCCTTTATCCCCAGGTGGGCCACTCTCCCAGGTTCTACAGCCATCCTTCACTTTCCTTCTGGGTGTGTAATAAGGCTCTATGTCAAAGGATTTGCAGAAAGAAGAGATTTCAATTGAATAAGATGCATATTAAACCCCTACTGAATATAAGTAAAAATTCTCTTAACCAACCTCACTGTAACTCACATATTCTGATCTTGTCACTTCCTCTGTCAGTCCCACCCGACCATGCCCATAGTTTGCTTAGTGTTTGTAGCAGACAGCCTACTTTCTAGTATGCCTACATGCTGGTGTTCATACAAGCTGAGTTGTGTGCTTCCCAAGAATCAATTATGCTTGTTTCTAAAGCTTTTATGACATTTGTACATACCCATTGGCCTTAGGCCCAATTATTGTTCCTATCTCACTGGGTGAGAGGGCTTCTTTATTATTGTAATAGTTCAACATGGTTAACCTACTCATTGAAGTTGAACCCACTTACTCATTTGGAAAACTGTGGGCTTTGCAGTTTGGGCATGCTTTTTGTATGCATTCTTGCTTATCTCTGTTCTCACCTGTGTTTTCCCATCTTAGAAGTGAGAAAAGGATTCTTCCTTTAAGTTTGCAAAATAGGGTAAAATTTAAACAAAATATAGAGAAACACTAGAAATAAATGTGCTATGTATTGTAGATGCTGTAGTCCTACTGTCTGTAATGGGGAGTCTATGAGTTATGGTTTAAGAAAATTCTCATCTTTTCTTAGATTCAGGATTATGTACCAAATCAGGTAACTCCTTAGCTTTTCTTATTTGGCATTTTGAAAAACCGTGGTTTGAGGAGTTTCCCACACTCTTAATAAACTACATTTAAGCCAGTAAGCTTAAAGTAAAATGTTAGATGATGGATTAACTTCAGTGGTTTGGAAGGTGTTGAAGATATTAAGAGAATTACAATGGCAGGTCCTACAGGGTATTAGTTTACAGAATACTGGACTTGGAGTCAGACCAGCTGGTCTGATATCAGCTGGATTCCTGATAGTACTTGCCTCTGCTGTTCTGTTAATCATTATTACATTTCATGAGGATTATAAAAAACTTCTTAGACTAATAAAAGACTTTAGATTTGATTCACACATAAAACCAATAGTTGTTTTTAATACTCTCAGTTTCTATGGACATTAGCTTCTTTTTTTTTTTTTTTAAGTTTTTATTTATTTGAGAGAGAGAAAGCATGCAAGTACAAGCAGGGGTAGCAATAGAGAGAGAGGGAGAAGCAGACTGTCTGCTGAGCCGGGAGCCTGATGTGGGGCTCCATCCCAGGCCCCTGAGATCACGACCTAAGCCAAAGGCAGAGGCTTAACTGATTGAACCACCCATGCACCCTGACATTAGCTTCTTTAGTTAACACTTTTCATCTTAGAAAATGAAATGCTATCTTAACAATTCTTAAGTAAGTATCTCTGTATTGTCTCTTAGTTGGTGATTAGCTTTTGGCGGCTATAGTTTTAAGTGTGTGCGCGTGCTTTGGGGTCATAGACACTTGAGTTTGAATCCTGGCTCTACCATGTACAAGATGTATAACCTTTGGAAAGTGACCTAATCCTCCTAAACCTGTTTTCTTACCTCTACAGGTGTGTGATAGTATATACCTCATAGGGTTAATGAAGATAGATAATGTTTGTGAAGTGTATGGGCATGTGACATAGCAGGTACTCAGTAAGTGCACCTTTCCTCTCTATGTCAGTTATAAATTTACATTCTGTGTCATGGATAAAAAGAGGAAAACTTCTGCAAATTACTTATTTATTCACTTGATGTGGTCGGTTTAGAGACCAGTTGCAATAAAACAGAGTCAGGATATGGTATTTGCTGCTGTAAGTTTCTATCATTTCTAAAGTTAGTTCATCCATTTTTTTAAAGATTTTATTTATTTGACAGAGAGAGATCACAAGTAGGCAGAGAGGCAGGTAGAGAGAAGGGGGGGAGCAGGCTCCCCGCTGAGCATAGAGCCCAATGCGGGGCTCGATCCCAGGACCCTGATATCATGACCTGAGCTGAAGGTAGAGGCTTTAACCCACTGAGCCACCCAGGCGCCCCTTGCCACATCTTTAGAATGTGAATGTTTAGTTTTATATGACCCTGAAACTGACTTTTCAATATGTGGCCAGCTACTGGAAAGAGAGGAACTGGAAGGGTGTAAAAAGAATAAAAGGAGTAAATAAAGTTTGTTGTGGTCATCCCCACCCAACAAATCTTTCAAAAGTAAGCTAAGTAACATATACTTTCTCTTTTGCTACAAAGAATTGGAAAGATTTTAAAAAGAAAATTTAAAAAAAATTTCGTCTTTCCTTTTTTTGTTTCTCCAGCCTCTGTTCCATCCCTCACCCACCTTTGCCGTTTGGAAATTCGGTCCAGTGTAAAACCAGAACACCTACGATCTGACAGTTTTATCTGTCAGTTGCCACTTCCCAGAAGCCTACATAATTATTTGCTCTATGCAGAAGTTCTAAGGATGAATGAAGTTCCAGAATTGGCAGTTACTCAAGATGGAGAAGTCAGCGAAGCTACTTAATGCAGCTCATGTCTTACTCTGAAAACCACCAAAACAAAGAGCCATGCAGTACAAATTCTTCATGATTTTATAGTCATAAAAGATGATTTTTGTTTGTGTGGTTGGTTAGGTTTGTGGGGGGCAATAGTTAAATGCAAATGTTTACAATTGGGCTTCCTGGTTAAAAAAAAATACTGTTCACCTCACTTATGTTACTTTATCACAGATTCATTACCAACACATTTTTATATTCTAGATTCATTTACCTAACATTTTTTGCTTTATTCTGTTAATGAACTGTGATGCTGCTTCTAGTGCTAACCATGGCATATTTCCGCCTATGATTCTGTGTTTGCCTAGGGCTAGGAGCTTAGAAAGAAATGCATAAAACTTTCCTGAAAGTGTATACACAATGGGGTTGAATCTATTATTATTATTATTATTATTATTATTATTATTTTATTTGAGGTTGACTATCTTTTATGTTTATAAAAAACTTTTATATTCCATTCTCATCTCTTAATTCAGTTAGTTTTATGAAGAATTTCTTCTCATTGGCTTTTCACAGATAAACTCAGGGGAGAACTTTTTTTCTTTAAAGAATATTGAAAATGAATAATTTTGCTGTTATTGTTGGTTCCCCCCCCCAGTGCCTTGATACTCTCTTAGACTGAAAGAAACTCCCATTTCTGCAAAAGCAACACCAGACTAAACTCTGAAATAGGCTCAGTTGGAAAAAATTAGGTCAGTATTGAAATAAAGAAGCATTTTACCACATTTAGAATACAAATCAGGGGACTGAGAGGGGCAAATCTGTGGCACCATCTTTAAAAAAAGAAACCTATGTATTTCTGAGTCACTTAGTATCAAATAAAACATTTGAGCTCCGTTCAGCCTCCAAATCTAAGGGCAGCTTTGATCCTATGATACAATGATTGCCAGTTATATTAATATTACAGTGTTCTTCCTTTTTATTATCTAGATAGGTTATCACATGGTCCTTGATCCTATGAAATTTGGACCTCAGAATTCTAGGGTAATGAGACACCACCTCATTGGTTTTATAGATGCTCAATATAAATCTATGGTCAGAGAGAACTAATCACCGGATCAGGTGAGCTGTGGTAATATGCTGTTGGGACCAACCTTAAAGTTTATGAAAGCATTACTGTCATGATACACAGCTAGAAAGTGGGTCCACAGGAGGGCAGGTCTTCTGTCGTAACGGGATCCTGTGGCTTGAAATAGATGGGAATGTGTCAGCCAGGCCATCCCTGATAGGCCTTTGCTATTTGATAAAAGCAGTGATGAAGACCAAATAACGGAGCATTGTTAAGGTCCAGAGGGACAACTGAACTCGGTGCAGATTAGAGCTATAGTTTCTGCCTGTGGGTGGAGATGGTGTTTGAATGTGGGTATACAGCAGAAATAAGTGTAGATGTGGAAAACCAGGTGGAAATTCTGATACTTAATAAAGAAATTCCAAGAATGTTTGTACTGTGTAGTAATTTTTAAATGTTGTTCTAATCTTTATTTTTCCAAACCCTAGATCTCCAATTTTGAACATAACTGGTTTATTATTAGGGCCAGATGCACATAGAATGTTTCATTTAAGGGTGAGTCTTGTTATGTGTTTTTGTTCATGTTCAAATGTGTAGTAAAAATTAAACTACCCATAACATCATTTAGATCTTGTTCTTAAAAATCTGAAAATGGATATTTCAGAGACATTTAAAAGACCCTGCTAGGGGTGCCTGGGTGGCTTAGTGGGTTAAACCTCTGTCTTCAGCTCAGGTCAAGATATCAGGGTCCTGGGATCAAGCCCTGCACTGGGCTCTCTGCTCAGTGGGGAGCCTGCTTCCCGCTCTCTCTCTGCCTGCCTACCTGCCTACTTGTGATCTCTCTCTCAGTCAAATAAATAAATAAAATCTTTAAAAAAAAATAATAAAAGACCCTGCTATTTAAAACATAAATAATTTTACTTACTGTATAACATATGCCTTTCTTTTAGATTACTTTATAATAAAATATTTATGACTTATATGACTTACAACAAAGATTCAGTGAGAAATCTGAAAGTATTAACAGGTAGTGACTTTTAGTTACCAGTTATTTTTTTATTAAGATTTTATGTATTATGGGCACCTGGGTGGCTCAGTTGTTGAGCATCTGCCTTCGGCTCAGGTCATGATCCCGGGGGCCTAGAATAGAGCTCTGCGTCAAGCTCCCTGCTCTGCAAGGAGCCTGCTTCTCCCTCTCCCACTCCCCTGCTTGTGTTCCCTCTTTTGCTGTCTCTGTCTCTCTCTGTCAAACAAATAAATAAAATTAAATTTAAAAAAAAGATTTTATCTATTTAAGAGAGTGAGTATAGGAGAAAGCACAAATGGGGGAGGGGCAGTGGGAGAGGGAGAAGCAGAATTCCTGCTGAGCTGGGAGCCCAATGTGGGGCTCCATCCCAGGACCTGGGACCACAACCTGAGCCGAAGGCCGACACCTAATTAACTGAGCCACCCAGCCACCCCTATAGTTATCAAAATGATACCTCTGGTTAGTGAGAACCGTAAGTCCTGCCCTATATGCACAGTGATGCTATAATAATCTCCATTTTTATTTTTTATTATTTTAAAAATATTTGTGGTTTTGTTTTTGTAATACTCTCAATTAATTTTTTTTTAAAAAGATTTTATTTATTTGACAGAGAGAGAGAGGGAGAGTGAGCGAGTACAACAGGGGGAGCATCAGGCAGTGGGAGAAACAGGCTCCCCGCTGATCAGGGAGCCTGATGTGGGACTCCATCCCCGGACAGGATTATGACCTGAGCTGAAGGTAGATGAGTAACAGACTGAGCCACCCGGGTGCCCTTAATACTCTGCTTTTAAAGTCACAGTGAGGGGTGCCTGGGTGGCTCAGTGGGTTAGGCCTCTGCCTTCGGCTCAGGTCATGATCTCAGGGTCCTGGGATCGAGCCCCGCATCAGGCTCTCTGCTCAGTGGAGAGTGCTATCCCCCCTCTCTACCTACTTGTGATCTCTCTCTGTCAAATAAATAAATAAAATCTTAAAAAAAAAAATAAAGTCACACTGGGCGCCTGGGTGGCTCAGTGGGTTAAGCTGCTGCCTTCGGCTCAGGTCATGATCTCAGGGACCTGGGATCGAGTCCCACATCGGGCTCTCTGCTCAGCAGGAAGCCTGCTTCCCTTCCTCTCTCTCTGCCTGCCTCTCTGCCTATTTGTGATCTCTCTCTGTCAAATAAATAAATAAAATCTTTAAAAAAAAAAAAATAAATAAAGTCACAGTGAGTCTCAGGAAGAACCTTATAGTACCATAGTTCTTTAATGGTGGTGCTTATTACTAGAGCCGGATGCAGTTTTAATAACGGTTGTCAAGATTTCACACACACACACACACACACACACACACACACACACACACACACACACGATCCTGTGTTATCCTTTGAATTTATATCCTGTTGGTGCTTCCTGTCATAGGATATTTTTCCATGATCATTTGATGGCACAGTGGTAACCTGAACATTGTTTCTTTATATTTCTATCTCCTTTTTGCTAAGTAGCGAGTGTCTTGTTGTGCTCCTTGCTGGTGGCTCTGTTCCCAGAGATGAGTTACACCCCTCTTGTGTTCCGTCACCACCCGTGTCAGTGATAAACCTTGTAGGCAGCCTAAATGGCATATTTATGTCACATGACCCGCTGATATCTTTAACTTCATATCTGTTCTTTCAACCTAAGTCCATCCGTAAATCTGCATGAAAACTGTGATGTTTTATAGATTTTTAAGTCTTATATCAGGTATAGCTTGAAAACATGAGTATTTTTGACTGATTACTACTAAAATTCTAGTATAATTTTGTTGGTCCTCAAAAATGTATCATGAATAATAACTAGTACAAATGTAAATAACCACGTCTTCTCTGAAATGTAGACTTGGTAGTTCCATGAGCATGGGATATAGAAAGAAGTTGAGAAAATCCACCTAAAAGTTTGCCTTTCACTTTTATATACCTTTGTATTCTCAGAGATATATTTCCGTAATTATATTTCTTCATTAGTCATAGAAATATTTGAAGAGGAACTTCCCGTACAATTTTTTTTTTTACCAGCAGTTACCTAGTGCTATTGTGGAAAGATTTTAAGTTGCTAGTGAGGTTGCTAGTAATGTGACCATTTTCAGTTTTATGATCAAGTGTTTTGTTTATAATTACTATTTTTAAAGATTTTATTTATTTGAGAGAGAGAGCACGAGTGGAGGGGAAGGGCAGGGGGAGAGGGAAAAGACAGGCTTCCCACTGAGCAGGTAGCCTGATGTGGCGCTCAGTCCCAGGACCCTGGGACCATGATCTGAGACCAAGGCAGATGCTTAAAGTACTGAGCCACCCAGCTGCCCCTATGATCAAGTGTTTTAGATCTAACAATTTAAGAGAATAGCTAGTAAAACTGTACACTGCCTTCTTCCCGTTTCATGAATTCATCCTTTGTAAAAGCAAATGGAGGCTCGACGTTGGCTTCATACAAATATTCAATTTAAAGAGGATCTCGAAGCTAAAGCTTCTAGAGCTTTTCCTGTGAGCTGGGAACATGATAATTGTACCATGGGTACTGTTATTTCCCCTGAATTTCTTGTACTAGAGCACTTCCCTCCTCCATTCTCTCGTATCCCAAGCAGCCAGTCACATATAACTGAGTATCAAGATTAATGTGTAGAAGAGAGCCCATACCAAGTGACTCCATTACTCATGGTTCTGTATGACCTGGGGTAATTAGCTGAAAGATAATTTGAGAAAAGAAGTATTATATTTTATTTAGAGCTCATGTTGGATCTCTGAGTCTACCTACATATTCTCCCTAGGAAAGAATAAAATAAATCTGGCCCATGTTTGAGGGCGTAGAGACTATCATGATAGTTCTAAAAACACTTTTTGGGTTTTTTTTTCCCCCTCTTTACCCTTTTCCCTTTTTTAACAAAACATTTATGGAAAATTTAATATTCCTGTGTGTGACTGTTGTGATTTCCTGTTTTGCTTTCTCTTTCATTGTTTTTCTGTTTGAGGCTAAATTAATTTATCCTCTGTATTTATTATTATTACTACTACTAAATGACAGGCAGCCATTGAAAAACAGTACTTTGCAGTAAGTAACCTTTAATTACTTGGTAGAAAAATACAGTTTATGTTAAAGATTTACTTATTTGAGAGAGAGGACGAGAGCATGAGCTTGGGGAGGGGCAAAGGGAGAGGGAGAGAGAGAGCGAATCTCAAGCAGACTCCCCACTGAGCATGGAGCCTGATGTGGGGCTTGATTTCACAATCCTGAGATCATGACCTGAGCTGAAACCACGAGTTGGGTGCTTACCCAACTAAGCCAGCCACGTGTCCCCAAAAATATAGTTTTATTTGCAACTATATGTCAGTAATGTATACTGAGAGAATGCCAGAG